TTTGAAATTATGAACATTGCTCAACATCATGAAAATTAAACCTTATTTTCAATAAGCAATCCTGAAAAATATTTGGGGGTGCTTAACTTTTTTCCAGGTGTATATAACCGTAAAACTGACTTCCTAAATCAATCTTTCATTAAAAAAAAACAAAGCACTAACACATTAACATTTGATAACACCTGATTTAATCAATTTAGTTGTTATGATAAATATTAGGTAGTATACTAAATCCTAAAAATATGACATTTGCGATAGAAATAGCTTTGAAAACCAGACTCTTTCACCTTGCTGTTCCACCAGGAAGGTTGGTTCTTTTTTTCAACATAGTTTTCATCACAAATCTTTAAGGCTCTGTCAGATACGTTTGATATAATTTCGTGTAGTCCCCTTTTTTATTAAAAATGCAGTTGCAGTTCATTACAGTTCTCAAACCTACCACGTCTGCTCCGCCTAAAGGTCCACTGAAAAATAGTTGTCCTTCCCTCTTAAAAACGTCAAGGTAAATGTTTCTTTACTCATAAACTAACTAGTTCTTATAGATTAAAAGTTTGATATGTGTATAACAAGCCCCCCAGTGGCACAGCGGTATGTATGCGGACTTACAGCGCTAGAATCCGGGTTTCGATACCCGTGATGAGCAGAGCACAGATAGCCCATTGTGTAACTTTGTGCTTAATTACAAACAAACAAACAAGTGTATAACAAAATTATTATGTAATTCAAATCTAACTTTCAAAGACCTACTTAAAAATCAAAGTAAACACTGTGTCAAACACTTTTTTATTTAGTTTACTTTCATTTTCTTAAACTTTGTTACAAAAATTTTCTGATAACTTTCTTTGGACAAAGATTAAAATAATTCATATATATATTTCGGTGTTATAAGCACAATATTATCGCTTCGTTTAGTTTGAGGTAATTCATATTGTTACAAAGTACTCTTAAAGGCAGACAGTTTGTATATGAATAACCACTCAAGAAGTGGGTTTCTATCAATCTGAAATAAAGACTTACAATCAAGAACGTAGTAGCTTTGACCATTCTTTGTTTGTTTGAAGTTAAGCACAATGCTACACAATGGGCTATCTGTACTCTGTCCACCACGGACATCGAAACTCGGTTTCTTGCATTGTAAGTCCGCAGACATACAGCTGTGCCACTGGGGGTATTGACCATTCTCAATGTTGAACTTTGTAATAGATCTTGTTATTGAATTTCCTCTGTAAAGATATGTGACAGACCAATGTCTGCGTTCTCGATTTCGTTACTTAGTTATATTGTTCAAATACTACCGTGATGGTTATTAAGACAAATGTATAATAGTCTAACAAAAATATTCCAAAGTTTGGGGCATTAGGATGAAGTGCAGATATATCAGAGGTTATATAGCGTAGTCGCACATTATGATTTATAGGGTTATAATCTGCACGTTTTGTTGACTTTGTACGTTGCACAAAACGAAAGTTAATTAAGTTTAAATATGTTCAATAATTATTAGCTCCATTGACAGTTTGCTTAGGAAAGTAAAATGTAATTTAATATCCTGCTTGTATCATTTATTTCTGCATAGGCATAACGCATTATAAAATTGCTTTTTAAAAATGTTAATTATTCCTATTCTCAAAAAGTTTGCTTACATTACGTCAACATTTTAGAAGTTCGACAAAGCTTCTTTCTCCATAATTATGTTTACTAAGAGAGAAGAAAGAAAAAGAGTAAAGAGAAAATTTAAATTTTTGATGTGTATATATCTTTAATATAATCAATTATTTTTAAAATAATATTGTGATTATAGCATATAAATATTTGTAGTTTCGGTCTCGGTGTAATTTCCGTTATAATTATATTCAGCATTAAATTAATGTTGTTAACATCGACTTAATAACTTTAACACCGCAACGCTATTTGGGGTAATTTAATTATTTTAGATAATCACATTACTGATATTCAAAAATACTTCTTTTTATTCAAAATTCATTCTTATTCGTCGATTGTAACTTATCTAAATTTATCTTCTCACTCTTTAGTATATATATACATTTAATAGTATGTTTATATACATAATTGGTAGATAGAATATCGGTAGGTAGCGACACAGTCGTCGCTATGCCCATTTAACGAGAGTTTGCGGGAATATAACTTGAATGTAGGGCAGTCGAAGAGAGGAAGGTGCGGGCGTCTGCTCTTATGTTCGAAGAAATTTTGGTATGGTGTGACGTGATGTGAGGTGATTTGTTTTGTAGTGCTTTTCTTTAGGTTTTGATTTCTTTTTCTTGAGTATTAATTTTTAAGAGGAATTCGAATTTTTGAAAAACGTATTTGAGTAGGGCATTAGGCTAGATCCAAAGTCTTCCAGATGAATAGTTTGCGAATATTTTATACAACATTTTTAAAGTATTCGTATTTTTTTTTAGGTTTGAGTCTTGGTATAGGTTTAGCTGTGTTTCTTTCATTTACTGGTGCTTCAAGTAATATAAACAAGTGCCTACCGAACGCTTATATTCTACGAGAAAATACCGCGAAAGGATGGGATATATTGGAAAACTTTGATGATTACGAGCCAATAATCGACCTGCAAAGGAAGCCAAATAAGCCACCACAACATCAAGAAAAACTTAATCGTTTAAGACCAAGATATTATTCCACTGAGCTCAGCATCAAAGAAAAGCTATTTGTTGGTATTATAACTAATCCTCAAACTGTTAATGTACTTGGAGTAGCTTTTAACAGAACTTTGTCAAAACATGTAAAAACACTTGTGTATTTTTTGAAGGAGAGCCATCCTGAAAATTTGAGTAATATCTTCTCTTTACAAACAATTATTGGATTCAAAGATGTGTCTGGTGAAAAGGTACAATTACACATACTCAAATACATATTGGACACATTCGTCAATGAATACGATTTCTTTTTTCTGGTTCGAGACACAACTTATGTGAGAGGGTCAAAATTACTTGACTTTGTAAATCATTTAAGTATTAGTCAAGATGTTTATACTGGCCATGTAATCCATGATGAAATAAAACTGAATGACTATTGCTCTTTAAATGGTGGTCTGCTTCTGAGTAACAGTGTGATCAAAAAAGTTGGACAAAGTTATACTTCCTGTCTAAAACAATCTGCTTTCAGTAACAGTCAGGATGCTTTAGGAAGATGTATAACTTATGTTACAGGAATGTCTTGCAGACAAGAAGTTCAGGTCAGTATAACATGTAAAATTTAAGGACAATAAGGAATGATTGATCCATCTAGCCCACCCCCATCCACTTAAAAAAACACTCAATAACAACCCTACTTATTCAAATGTTTGTCAGATGTTCCCTTAAACTCCCTTAAATTTATTACATCTACCACATCTGTCAAAAGGCAACCCATTCCAAAGGCCAACTATCCTGTTAGAAAAATGAGAAGTTCCGTCTTGGTTGAAGATAACTTATACCCTGCCAAAATTTATATGTTTGTGCCCTCTTGACCTATGATTCTCAAATGAAAAAAGATGATGCAATACTTCATCCAAATCACCTCTAACTTTTAGTTTTTCAAGAGAAAATTTCAAGTTCTTGACATGTTCTTTTATGATAACATTTCCATCTCGGGTGTCATCCTAGTAGCTCTCCTTTGAACCCATTTCAACAATTCATTGTTCATTCTAAGGTAAGGATTATAAACTTAAATACAATACTTCAAATGTGGCTTAACCAGTTATCTATACAATGTAATTATAACCTCTTTAGATTTGTGCAATATTTCTGTAGATATAACCCAATATTGTATTTGCTCTGCCACTTACAATAGCACACTGCTTAGGTGATTTAAAAGACTGATCAATCGGAACACCAAGATCTTTTTCTTCCATAACACTGGTAAGGTTATTCTCATTAAAATTGTTGTAATCCACATTCATTACTGTCAAATGTTTATGTACGGGTCAGATTGTGTATATTTAACAATTATCTTGCATTTATTATTACAAAAAACAATGTCATTTATTCACCCAACTGTCAAATTATTTTTGTAAAGCAGCAGTAGCATCTTCAAACATAGCATCATTAGAGATCTTAATATCATCAGCAACTTTAATGTAATTTAATGACCATTCCTTCATGTATGTTATTGATGTAAGTAAAAAAAAAGAAAACAACAAAGGTCCTAATACTAAGCCCTAAGGTACCCCACCACCTGCTTGTGCATTAATCCAGTTTGACAACAACTCTCTGATTTCTTTCATCTAGCCAGTTTTCTAGCCAATAAGTCAACCTAACCCCTATCTAATTTTTTTTAACAAGCTCAGTATTAATTTTTATCCATATTTCCATTAATATCTATACAGGATGAGAAATATTGCTTAGATGTTTGTTGATAAAAACGAAAATACAGAATTTAATGGCTCATCAGAAATGAGCCTTTTTTTTGTTACTGAAAGGCCCTACTCCATCCTAACATTTTGCTTATTCTTAATGCATTTAAAGAAACCCTTAATATTAATTTTTTCATTTCTGGCCAAACTTTTTTTTCATATACCCTTCTCGATTTTCCTAATGTCCTGTTTTAACAACTCTCATGATCTCCTGTAATCCTCTGAGTCTCCTCTCATAGCAGTCAATTTAAAATTTTTAAATTTGTAATGTTTTTCTATAATTTTATTCATAATACACTTTGCGAACCAACCTCGTATGATATATGTAGCCACCTTTTTTTTTTGTTATAAAGAATGTGTCCATTCTGAATATTTAAACCTATGTCAAAACAAAAAATTATCCATTTTCACATATTGATAAGTACAAACAATGCAACAAAAGAGGGAAAGTTTTGATATTAAGAAAAAATTGGGAAGTTTAAAGAATAACAAGGCTACTGAAACATATAATAATCAATTACATAGATTTGTTGAAGATATTAAGATTTTGAGTGTTACTGGCTGTGAAGAAGATGCTGCTGTTTTACAAAGGAATTTAGATTATTTGGCGAGTTCAGCAAATAAATGGTAGATGGCTTTTAATTATAGTAAGTACATGTTAGCTATCATAATTTCCCCGAAAGGGGCAGAAGGCAGTTTTGAAGGGTCACCTGTTTTAACTAACCGCACCACTATACAGTAGTATGTTATCTGTGGGTCAGTCAGTAGACACTGAAATTACATCACATAAGGGAAGCTTAACATTGCATGACATGAATCACAAGAACAGTTGTGTACTCTGTAGACTACAACATAGCATGACATATGACTGTTAAAAGCAAAAAATAAAAATATTTGTTACTCTTAATTTGGGTTTTATTTACTCTTGCAACAGAACACTTTCAGGGACCCTGCTGAAGTACATCTAGTTTACATTATAAGTACAAGTATGATGAGAATCACTTTAACAGTGTTATGAAAGAAAAATATATTGGTGCTTTGGTTGATCGGTCTTCTTGAACAACCCAAGTGATAAAGTATGACAAGTAGGATTTTATGTTGTATCTACAGAAATATTGTATAGGTCACTGGTTAGGCTTTATTTTGAGTATTGTATTCAGTTTTAGGCTCTTTACCTTAAGTATGACATTGAATTGTCAGAAAGGGTTCAAAGGAGGACTACAAGGATTATATTTAGGATGGAAGACTTGTCATATACGGTCGTGTTTTGTCATGAAAAATAAGAATTAAAATGGATCTGATTGACGTGTACAAGATTATTAAGGGAATTGATAGTACTGGTGCATCATCTTTTTCATGTTTAATGGTAAAAATTGTAGAACAATGGGACAAATATATATATATATTGGCAGAATTAGAGTTATCTTCAGCTTAGAAAGTTTTACTTTTCTAATAAGTGGTTTTCCTTTGTAATGGTCTTTCTTCGAGTGTGGGGGATGCAGTAAATATAATGGAAGGTTCAATAAATATTTAAGTTATCAAGGCTAGATTTTAGTTGTTTTTTGTTTTTTTTTAAGTGTATGGGACAGCCTTGATGGACCAACAGGCCCCTTTTTTGATCCTTAAATGTTATGTTATTCATCCAGTCAAGGTTGCTCCTCATGAAAATTATCGTGGGTTTAAATTTTTACTGTTCTCAATTCATCTTCTTTACATTTTAGTTCATATGCATTTAATACTATTTGTATTTATATAGTTGGTAGATGGAATGCTGGTATGTAATGGCACAGTCATCACTGTGTCCCTTTAATGATATTATGGGAATGTAATGTAAAGAATTCAGAGGTTTTTTTCCTTATTAATCCCCCAGATAATCTTTTAAACTTCAGTAAGATCACCTTTTATCCTTCTTTTCATAACAGAAAATAAGTTTAGAAATCTTAACTGGAACCATTAAGAGAAATATTCCATCCCTGCAGTCATCTTACTGGCCTTTCTCTGAATTTTTTGCAATAAATCAATATTCTTTTTTTAGGGAAAAATACCAAAACAATACACAGTATTCGAAGTGAGGCCTAATAAGTGATTTATATACGTGTAAAGAAATAATTAACCTTTTTGACTTTAATTGGTGTGTCTATAAATATACCCTGAAATTCTATTAGCTTTGCTACTAGCAACAGAACACTGGCTCAGTGGGTTTGAGCAACTTATCCACACTATGTCAAGGTCTTTTTCTTCAGTCATGCTATTGAGTGAATTCTCATTCATATTAAACATCTGATACAAATTGTAAATGAACTATCTTACACTTACTATACAAAAAAAAGGTCTTTTTCCAAATATTTTTCAATTAACCAATTAATTCAAATCATTTTATAGTATCTCAACATCTTCAATATACCTAGAATTACTCAAAAGGTTATTGTTGTCCACAGAATTTTCTAGCTTAGTAATTATGCCTCTATCAGTATTATTAACATAAATAAGAAAAAGCCAAAGTACTCATCTTAGGCAATCCACTAGTAACAAGGATTTAGTTTGACTGTACTCCATTAATAACAACTTCTTAGTTCTTCTCATCCATCCATCCATCCATCCATCCTATAATCAAATTTATAGTCTTTCCCAAGCCCTCAGTGATGTGATTTTTTTAACTGAACTTTTGTGTGACAGCACCTTATCAGAAGCTTCTTGAAAATATTTATTTTGTTAAAAAATTAACAAGTGCATTACTTCAATGGGCTCTTTAAACTGTTTTACATGAGATTTAGTTAATGTCATACATGTATATATAATATTTATTTACAGAAATCTAAGAAAATTTTGTAAAGCTGCTTTGAAGAATTAAAATTTTGACTTCTTATAGAGTTATATAAAAATTAAAGACTATTTTTAAATTTGTTGTCTTGTGAAATGTTAATTTTATTCTAGGCCTAGGATTTCTGTGGAAAAATCATACTTCTGTTCTTACTACTTATTTCTATTACAGACAGTTATATACTATCCACCACTTAGCACATAGAAATAAGAAAAAAGCAACTTAGAAACAGCCATTCAACAAACGTAATATACTACTGTCCAAAAAGATCATCGAAGCCAATGATGTAAATTTTTGAGATTGTTTGATTTCTCCTTACGTTCTCTGCTCTGAACTTAATACCATGCAGAAATGGAACTATGTTTATTCTTCTTCTATGAAAGATTGTTTTGATAATAAATGATTTACCTATTTAAAAATTCTAAAATAACTTCTGCTGAGACATTGCCAGTGATCAATCACAAAATAAATTAATTATCAAGTCAGTAAAAAGTTGATCTCAGCTTTGGCTGAGTGCTTTCTCAGTAGGTTACTTAATACAATACTGTGCATGTGTGTAGAAAGATGATACGAGAAAAAATTAAAATTATCTCTTGTTTTGCCTTTCATAATATTTAGATAAATAATACTTGTCTAATATTGTAATGATATAATTTTGTGTACTTTTCTTTCTTTTTTAGGGTAAAACCTTTCATGCATATGTTGTTAACAAAGATGTGAAAAAGACACTTCAAGATATGGATGCAGTAGATCCAAAAGACTTCCATGTAGTTTTCCCTGTATATAATTCAAAAGATCATTATCAAATTCATAAGTACTTTAGTGAAAAAGAATTAAGTATAACTCACTATAGTATTAAATCAGTTGAAGAACACATTGTTCAACTTGCACCTTTGGTTCCTGGAAGAAACTCAAGTGTTACATGGCCTCTAGGCTTAGAACCCCATTTTAAACCTGAAAGTAGGTTTGATGTTATTAGCTGGAATCACTTTAATGGGACACACAAGTTCTTAGACCCAACAGACCCTCAAGTTGTATCCAGACTTGTTGGAGTGAAGCAAACAGATACTATTGCTATCCTGAATGACTGCTTACAATGGTTGCAAAAGAAATATGGAAAGGTGTTTTCATCTCAAGTTCTTGAAAATGGATACTGGCGTATTGACCCTACTCGTGGTATGGAGTACTTAATGGACATCAAACTGTTAAATAACAAACAAAACAAAATAGTACAAAAAAGACTGGAAATCGTGCGACCGTTAAACAAAATTGAGATAATTCCAGTGCCTTATGTGACAGAGCACACTCGCATTGCTTTAGTTACTGTTGTAAAAGCTGATGAAATTACTTATGCAAAAGAGTTTTTAAGTGAATATGAAGTTGCATGTTTAGAAAAACAAGAGAACTCAGCTTTGCTGCTGGTATTTTTATATGGTCCAAATGACCCGGGGAAAGGGAGTAAGGATGATGTATTTGGCCAGTTGAAATCATTAATATCATTTTACAATAATAGGTACCGAGCTGGTGGAGCCAAAATTGCGTGGTTAAGTGTAAAAACTGATATTCGAGAACCACCAGATTTTGCAGTCATGGATCTTGTGTGCCGAAAGCTAACTCCTGAATCTATAGTTCTACTGGGTAATCTCAAAATGGAAATTCGGACTGATTACTTAAATCGTGTGAGAATGAATACAATTTTAGGTTTCCAGGTGTTTTTTCCAATCCCTTTTGTACAGTATCATCCAAAAGTTCAGGGTACTACAAGTAAAAATTTTGAGATAAAGAAGGATTTAGGTCATTTTGATATTCATAGCTATCAGTCAATGAGCTTTTACATTTCTGATTATATAGCTGCACGTACATTAATCAAGAAGGAAGTGCCATTTGTTAAAACTGACAGAGATCTCAAAAATGAACGGCTATATAACTTGGAGTATGGAATATTTGATATGTTTGTGAGATCCAAGCTTTGCCATGTTTTACGTGCCATAGAGCCAGAACTAAGAATCAAATATAGAACTTTAAGTTGTAGTTTAGACTTGAATCATGAGGCTTACCAACAGTGTCTACATAGCAAAAAAGAAAGTTTAGGCTCCAAATCTCAACTTGCTAAGCTCATACTCAAGAAAGAAATGATACAGAGTGAGCAGACGAGGTGATAATTTTAAAACACTACATTTTGAAAAGCGTTAGCAGTTCATAATATCTGTTGTTCCTTTAATTAATGTCGGAGATTCATTGTCAAGTGAGAGCTTTCATTAAAAAAAAACAGAATCTCAATCCTCAAAGTTGATGGCAAAACTGCTTTCAGTAATTTGTTCCTAGTGCTACTGTCTCAAGATTAGATGTCATTCACAAATGTAGATAGAATTTACTTAATTTTCCAAAAGTATATATATACCATTTGCATACATATAGATCAATTTATTTCATATTTTTTGTTATGGCAATGACTGTACTAATTTTGTTGTTTTTTTCTTTGTGACTAACGTTTTATAATTTTAATAGTTTTTTAGGAAGATTATGAAAAGTCAAGTTCAAAGTATAGTGTATAATACTGACAAGATTTCTATGAATGGTTCTGCCACATTGAATTCTGAATTAGTGTAGTACCTGCATCCAGTTTTTAGCCAAATGGTAAATTTTTCTAAATACTAAAATTATATATATATATATATATATATATATATATATACATAATATGCTATTCTTTTTTATTAGTTTAATTTTTATATGGATATTTACTTGGTCATATCTTTACTTGTTATGTAACTGCCTAAATGAAGAAAATGTATGGAATGAACAGAAAACCTTTAAACCAGGATTTAAAATTGGAGCTTATTGTTTTGTTCTTTTATGATGTTCATACACACATCTAGGGCTGGGTGATTAAATTGATTAATTGATATAATCAATTAACTGTGGGCATCAGCTACATGAATTAGTCCCATAAAGTAATCCAAATTACGATTAAGTCAATTAGTATCATCAAAATAACCATTTGTATTTTCGATTCCATTTTCAATTATTGCCACTACTAAATAATTGAAATTATGATTAAATCAACTAATATTTCTGGCTATTATTGTTTTTGATTATTCCAGCTATCCAAGAAAATGAAATATTGATATTATTCTCATTTGTTAAGCACCAAAGTTACACAATGGGCTGTCTGTATTCAACTCACTTAGGGCATCAAAACCTGATTTGTGAGGGTGTAAGTTGTTTTTTTTAGTCAAATAATATGAGAATAATCTATATTCTCAAGAGAAGGATAAAATGATAATCTATCAGTTGAATGTAACCAATTAAAGAGCCCAAAAACTAATTGATTAGCAAATTCCACTAATCACCCACTTCTACTCACACAAATTTTCAGAATATTTGGCGTTTTGTTTTAGACAACAACATACCTTATTTATTGGTTTAAACCCATAAAACTTAAGTTGAGAAATAATTTTCGTATAGTTTAAAAACTGACTGTGAAACTAAAATCTGAAAACTGTGCAGTCAAAAGGTATACATGTATGTTTGTGAATTTGTAGTTTTATAAAAAATAGAATATAACTTAATATTCTACTTAATAATTAGAAAAAAGTATGGTCATGTGATTAAACTGGCTGGATATTTGGTGCTATTTTAATATACATGTAATTGTATTATGCATATACAGTCTTGTTACCTACTATAGAATAATAGGTACTTTGATTTGCTAAGTATTATATTCATAGTGCCTTAAAATTAACAGTAATATGAATTCAAGTCTATAGGACATAACTAGATGAATAGTATCAGATGTTTAAAAAAATTAAATGGGAATTTTTAACAAAAACATTCTGATTTAAAGGTTGCAAATGAAACTGGTTCAGTAACAAAGTTATATCTCATGACACAGTTGTTGTTTTTGTTACTGTGTATACTATTTTGTATATGTGGTTCACTAGGAGTGTTAGATGTATTTTTATACAAGTTAGTGCTTTTTACCTAGGATATTTTGTACTCTGTGGAAAAATAAATGTTTTAAATTACATTTTATATGTAGGGCAATTTAAATAATTTACAATACTTTGTGTTTCACATAGACTTATAATGAATGTTATTGTGAAGTTTATGGTAAGTTTATTTTTTCAAGCCTGAAAGTTTAAAATTTTATCCTTGTAATTTAAATGCACTTGTTTCTTTAATGTTCATGACATTTTTTAAGTTATGTGATGCATTTTGAAACATTTTAATCTTATTAAAAAAATAATTTCATTCTTGTATATATATATATGTATAACCTAGAGTGCAAATTGAAAGAAACTGTAATAGTGTAAACAAGAAAGCTAAAATACTCTCGATTACAGTGTCAAATATGTATATGTGTACACTGATAAACATCGCATTCCTGCGTTCATGTACAGGTATACTACAAGTGTTTAGTTCACACCTAGACAATCTTCCTTATTATTTTACTATTGCCTAAATTTTATTTACATTAGGCTTGATGTGTTTTTGTACTAACATGTATTGTGTACTCAAATTCTCATAAATATTGTGATGATATTTTTCAAATTTTGTGAACTATTTGCATTCAAAATGTCCTCCTGAGATTAAGGATTTTACATATTATATCTCATACTATGGTTTATCTCATTTTTAGTAGCAATTTTTATTTGAAACACCCTCTCCAAAATCATCTGTACTGTACCATATTTCTGATATGAAAGTTTACTCCTTGAGAACAATAAATGTGAAAAATATCCCTTTTAAATCATATTCATTGTGTTAAGTTGTTCTTGGAAGTATATGTAGGTCAGTGATGTCACTGATTTGTATTGGAAAAAATGTTTTTGTCAGTCGGATATATCAACATAAAAGTAATCATGATTTGTGTCTTTTTTTTTAAGTTTTTGTACATGATTGAAGATAAAGCTTTGACATATTTTTTGTTTTAAGAACATTAGTGATTCTTTTAATAAAGATTAGAATGTTCCTTAAAATGTTTTTGATTTTGTTTCCTTTGTGTATGTTAAGTTTGACATGCCACAATTCTCTGAAGTGTAGTTTTGGTAATACATCAAAATATCAATACTGTGTAAGGATCTTGATAATTTGTCTGAAATTTAAACCAAACTAGCAGATAAAAAGATGCTAGCATGACTTTCTCTCATGTGAAAACATTATTAATACTTTTATGAAACTACTATAAACCATAGGAGCCTACAAAGTGTTACATTTTTAATCCTTTCCATGTTTTAGATAATTTAATGATTTTTATAGATATACTTATTTGACTACTTACCCAAGTCGTTATGAGTGAAGCATATCCTTCTAGTATTATGGAAAGAAAGTGGGGTTGAGAATTTTAGCAACTAAAAATCCTAGGTTTATATTTTCTCTTTAGTGAAAGTAAGTTAACCTATCATTTATCCACATGCGCTTTGAGCGTCACTTGTGATGGTCATATGAAGCTCTCTTCTAATCTCATAGTTAAATTAAAACAACCAGTTCATATTTCCACTTTCAGAAGCGTCAACTGTGTACCATATATGATAGTCAGGCACTTTAGCATTATATCCTGTGAATCGCATGTGATTGCAAAGGATAGGGTTATCCTGCTGGTGTCGCTTATAATTATTTTGCAATTTATAAATATTAATACACACACTCATAGCTACATTAACCTGGATGCTTTCTGCTCTGTGCTGAACAAAATGAATTGGTTGAGAAATTTATTGGTACTTATGCATATTATTTTTACATATTGCTTATGTATAGAAACATGGAGGAAGTTACGATGAAGTAATCAAAGTATAAAGGAATGTATATTATGCTACTACTACAGTGCATGCACGTAGACTAGTGAAGATTTAGGTAACGAACACAAAATAAAATTTCAACTGCATAAAGAGTGAAAATGTGGTTTTACAAACAGAAAGCTTAACAAGGAACGGCGCGTATATGAAAGTTGGAAAGGCTGATCCTCCCCAAATAAACTGTCCCTCAAAGGGCATTAAAATCTCGCTAACTTGTATAGCATATGTGGATATGGAGAGAGAGAGAAACATGGTATTACTGTATGCGTGAATCAATTCTTTTCAACTGTGCAACCACCCACACGTGACAGAATAGCCTGCCCGAGCAAAAGACTCTCGCGACACCTCTGAGCTTAATTGATTTGGTCTCCCCCGATGCCCAATGTCAGTAATCTAAATAATAGTTTCAATGATATCCTTATGCCTTGTATATATATGTGTGTGTGTGTGTAAGATACGGAAGTGTTCCAAAACAGTGGCAAAGGTTTACTTACAGGGCATAGATTCCAAATACTGAATAAAAGTCACGTATCCCCTGTCCATTTGATTGCTTTACGAAGGTTTGTGGGAGTCTCGTGATTAGGGCGTTCGACTTGTAATCTGCGGGACCAAAACACAGCGCCGAACATGTTCGCCCCTTTCAGTCGTTGGAGAATTCCCCAATGATTAAACTTAATATAAGTACAGGCAATTCAGTAAGGTAAAATACAACTAAAGCGAATTCATAATAGAATTGGCCTAAGAACTGTGATCAGTTTTTAATTGTGAATGACCCTAAAAGATAACATTCAGAAACCTAATTTTGAAGTAGACCGATTTCAATTTTTGATTTGTTTGTTTTGATAGGGTGTTATACCGTAACAAATTAGCTAGTCAAAATATCAAACTTCTAGGGAGCATTTTACATAAGCAATTTATTAATTAAACATAGGAAACGATACATATTGTAATGCATGGCAAACCAAGAAGAGCCCGTGCCAAGCAGGTTAAAAAATAAACACAGTTGGCGAATGGTTCGCGCAAAGAACGAATTTGATATTATGTATTAATAACAATTACTATATAATAAATTTTAAATAGACTGTTTTCATTTTCAACATTTTAACTTTACTATTAATATATATATA